AAAACATATCCAAGAGATCAATCATTTATTTTATGAAGGATTCGGACTATAAATTTTGTTATTTTAATGTATTGGAATAAAATTTATTAATATAAAAAAAATTCAACCATTTTATGTTTATTTTTGGTATAATAGCAATTCTCAACATTTACAATTTTTTTAAAAAAAAAGATGCTGTTTGATATTGATCAAAAACTTCTTTCAACATTTCTAATAATCAATGGGGGAAAAATTGAAATAAAAGAATGGATAAACGAAATATTTGTCAAAAAATAATAGATTTATAAAAGTGAGTAATTCAGAGTCAATTGAGGGAAAGAAAAGAATTCAAGAATTTCTCCGGAGAAAATTATCAACTAGTTGGAGCTTTATAGTTGCATCATGCTATTTATAAAACTTGTTTAATTGAATTTCATATGGTTTATTTAGAAATAAATGAAATAATCAAAAATATTGATATCAATTAATTTTTTCAATGATGAAGGAATCATTATTATCATGAGTTTTCGACAAAATTTAAAAGATGTTATAGAAAATGATTGTAATTGTGATTCTTCAGATATTTCAATTATTCGAAGTTCAGAGCAAGAACAAAATGCATCTTCACATATTTTTGTTACACTGGCTGGAATAAAAATTTCTTTGATTTTTGTTCCTGAAAATGCATTTTTCCCAATTGTTTGTAAGTTAGAATTCGTTGGAATTTCGACTTTTCTTAGATTGTTACAATTGCAAAATGCAAATTCACATATATTTGTTACACTGGTTGGAATAGAAATTTCTTCGAGATTTAAAAATGAAAATGCATCTTTTTCAATTGTCTGTAAGTTAGAATTCGTTAGAATTTCGACTTTTCTTAGATTGTTACATTTGTAAAATGCACGATCACATATTTTCGTTACTCTGGGTGGAATAGAAATTTCTTCGAGATTTGAATATGAAAATGCACATTGTTCAATTGCTTGTAAGTTAGAATTCGTTGGAATTTCGACTTTTCTTAGATTGTTACAATTGCAAAATGCAAATTCACATATATTTGTTACTCTGGCTGGAATAGAAATTTCTTCGAGATTTGAATATGAAAATGCACTTTTTTCAATTGTTTGTAAGTTGGAATTCGTTGGAATTTCGACTTTTCTTAGATTGTTACATTTGTAAAATGCACGATCACATATATTTGTTACACTGGCTGAAATAGAAATTTCTTCGAGATTCGAATATGAAAATGAAAATGATCCAATGATTTTGATATTTAATGGAATACAAATTTTTTTGATGTTACGGCCTACAAATAGAAGTTTGTCAAATTCATCATCGTTTTGATTACTTTTGCCAATCAAATATTTATCTTCTTTGAATATGAATTGACCATTGGATGGTGAAATTATAATTCGCTTTAATTTTTTTGTATCACAACACCATCCTTCTTTCAATTCAATCAAACTTTTTGGAAAATAAATTTCTTCAATATTTGAATATGAGAATGCATATCCATAAATTGCTTGTAAGTTAGAATTCGTTGGAATTTCGACTTTTCTTAGATTGCTACAATTGCAAAATGCATTTTCACATATTTTAGTTACACTGCGTGGAATAAAAATTCCTTCGATTTCTGATTCAGAAAATGCATTTTTCCCAATTGTTTGTAAGTTAGAATTCGTTGGAATTTCGACCTTTCTTAGATTTTTACAATTGCAAAATGCAAATTCACATATATTTGTTACACTGGCTGGAATAGAAATTTCTAATATATTTGAAAACGAAAATGCATCTTCTCCAATTGTTTGTAAGTTAGAATTCGTTGGAATTTCGACTTTTCTTAGATTGCTACAGTATGAAAATGCACATTCACATATTTTTGTTACACTGGCTGGAATAGAAATTTCTTTGATTTTTGATTCTGAAAATGCATTTTTCCCAATTGTTTGTAAGTTAGAATTCGATGGAATTTCGACCTTTCTTAGATTTTTACAATTGCAAAATGCACGATCACATATATTTGTTACACTGGCTGGAATAGAAATTTCTTCGATATTTGAAGATGAAAATGCATATCCATAAATTGTGCTAACTGCTGATTCTTCTTCAAATTTGATACTTAATGACTCGCAGTAAATTTGACCATTAAAACGACAAATGCTAGTGACTAGATAATCATTATTTTTTTGTTTGACTGTTCGCGGAATAATAAGATCTTGTACATTTTGTTTGAAACCATAAAATGAGGCTGTCTGATTTGTTTTGTCGATTTTAAATAAAAAATTTTTGGAATCATCTTCAATTTGTTCACTGAGTAAAATTTTTATTAATTCGAGGTCACCTTCTCTACATGCATAATGCAACTGAGATTCAATGTTACTGTATTCTTCTTCTGATTTGAGTTCGTTATGATTTCTGAAAAGATCAAGAATTCTTTCCTTCTTATCTTGTGATGACTCTGTATTCATGTCTGTTTCAAAGTTTTCAATTGGTATCTCATATACGGTGTCGTCCAATACTATCTTTTGCATGGTTTTCTCGTCAATTATATATTAAAACAATTATCAATTGAAAATTGAAATAACTTTATTTGAAATTATTTCACAATAAAATGGTTACATTTTATACTCTTCAAAAAAACTTATAATATAATTTTATACTTCATGTCAAAGGAAGGCCTTCCTTTGAATCAATTGAGGAGATTCTTAGGAACAATAAAAGCTTCATATTTGATGGAATTAAAAATGAGGATTTCGTTAATCATATTGATTTTATCTATGAATCAAAGATTTCATTCGAATATGAGAAAATAATTCTCGATCTTAGTGAATTTTTTAAAGGGGAAAGCAAAATAAGTGAGATTGAAGAAATAATGATGAAAGTCGGTGAAAATGATTTTGGAAATTCTTTTATGTAAAGTAACATTTTTATGCTTTATAAGCTATTAGTCAAATAATGAGCATCTTCTTCTGTTCAATTTCGAGAAACAAAGAAATCAAATCTGATCAATAATAATTATTAACCATGATTATACATTTCTCTTAACATAAAAAACAAATGAGAACTAGACATAAAATTATATATATTATATATGCTTATGCAAGGAGGCGTGATTAACACTTTCCTTTATTAACAAAGAATTAATCACTTTTGATGGGCAAACGAATATGTCACTTGAAAATGAAATTAAGAAATCAAATTTTGAAACAAACCAACTTGTGGTTGATAAATCTATGATTAAACTGATTGAATATGCATTGTTTTATGGCTCGAATGACATCATCAAATACATGGAAATGAAAAGAGCTGAACTGACATCAGGCATGTGGCTTTATGGGATTCACAGTTGTAATGCAGAACTGATCAAATATCTTGAAGACAACCATGTTTCATAAGCTGTTGAAAATCACAATTATTGCTGAACTGATCATAATTGTGATTTCCATAATGGCAGTTTTCAATACATTTTTGAAGACAACCAGTCTTTATCGATATGCTGTTGAAAATCACAATTTTTGTTTTTTCCAACAAACATGAAAAGCAAAGGCATGCTTTTTTATTTATGCGAATTTGGCTATTACACGCATGTGAAATTTAATCAATATAACTTATGAAATTTAATTTATAATAAATAATAATAAAGCATATCATCGAAAAATTGTAATTACCAATCAAGGTCTCATAGCTCAATAGGTAGAGCAGCGTGCTTATAACACGAAGACCTAGGGTTCGATTCCCTTTGGGACCAATTTTTTGGTAGTTTTTTTTAAAGAATTTCAATCTGTCATTAAAAGATAGAATCTCCTAAATAAAATGAGATTACTGTGAGTGGATTTTTTTATTTGATATTGATTATCATCTTGAAATAAAGAAAAAAATTAGTATAATTTAAATCACCCAGTAAATCTTAAGCAAGATGTAAATAATAGAGTAAAGATGATATCAAATTAACGATCTAACTATTTGCATTTTTGAAGTTTATTTTTATTTTTATTTTAGAGTTTATTAAATCTGATTTATTTTTATTAAGATTCTAAATCTTTTGCCTTTGGCATAATAATATAGATCCTAAATCATTGGCCGCACAAGTTTTGTTTAGAATATACATTATTGAATCTGATTTGTTATATAACATAATTCAAAATAATATTGAACTTGAAGAACTTAGTAAATGGAATGATTATATAGATTAAAATCATTGTTCTAATTAATGCTATTTTCAAAATTGCATGTTAGCTAGAATTATGATTGTTCAAAAGAAATAAAGAAAAGAGTAATGCTGAAATTCCACCAGAAGTTAAAAAGTACGAGAAAATTCTTTATGAAAATACAAGTAAAGCTTGTTTATTAATTTAAATAAATAATAAAGGAAATCGATTTTTTTAATTTCAATTTTCTATCATTTAACTGATTAATTTACAAAGTATTGGGACCAAATTTGTCAAAGTATTCATCTCAATTCTGTTTGATAGTGCAATGATATCATGATTGATAATTGTTCCTGATGCCATCTAGTGGGAAAAATAAATTATAATATTTACTGTCTTTTATTGCGTAAAAAAACATTTTTATGCTTTTTCCATAATATTTTGCTGATTTGTATGATTTTAACTTTGAATTTTCCACTTTTTCAATGACTTCATACAAAAAGTTGGAACTGAAAACAAAATACCAGAAATATATAATAACCGTTCTTTATCAGCATTACGATTGTTTTGGGTTGTTCAGCTGATTACTTGCCATTTTATTTTATTTTGAGATTATAAAAATTTTCAATATTGATAACCGATCTTTTATTCATTATTCATTATTCATTTTTGATACCAGAGATAAAACTTTTGATTTGATATTGATATCAGAAAAATGTATCAATTATCGATATCGAAAATCAAGACTTAACAAGCCTATTGAAAGAAATATTTAAGAAAAATAGAGTCCTTTGAAAAAGTTGAGTAGACTAACCCATTCCTCCTATTGAAAGAAAATTTTATTCTATTTTGCAAATTGTAATTACCAATCAAGGTCTCATAGCTCAATAGGTAGAGCAGCGTGCTTATAACACGAAGACCTAGGGTTCGATTCCCTTTGGGACCAATTTTTTGGTAGTTTTTTTTAAAGAATTTCAATCTGTCATTAAAAGATAGAATCTCCTAAATAAAATGAGATTACTGTGAGTGGATTTTTTTATTTGATATTGATTATCATCTTGAAATAAAGAAAAAAATTAGTATAATTTAAATCACCCAGGAGTAAATCTTAAGCAAGATGTAAATAGTAGAGTAAAGATGATATCAAATTAACGATCTAACTATTTGCATTTTTGAAGTTTATTTTTATTTTTATTTTAGAGTTTATTAAATCTGATTTATTTTTATTAAGATTCTAAATCTTTTGCCTTTGGCATAATAATATAGATCCTAAATCATTGGCCGCACAAGTTTTGTTTAGAATATACATTATTGAATCTGATTTGTTATATAACATAATTCAAAATAATATTGAACTTGAAGAACTTAGTAAATGGAATGATTATATAGATTAAAATTATTGCTCTAATTAATGCTATTTCGAAATTGCATGTTAGCTAGAATTATGATTGTTCAAAAGAAATAAAGTTAAAGGCACTTTATCTCTTTTTATCTTATATGATCATTAAATATGTTAAAGGCACTTTATTAAACTCTATATTTATTAATATATATCTCTATCTATATAATTTCTATAATAAGTTATATTCACAATTCAAAAAAAAGTATTCGTCACTTTCTTTTTCTGAATATGATTCTTCTTCTTCCGATTGAGTGGATGAATAATGCATTTGTTCTGTGAATTTGATGAATTCTGACCATGTTTTTTCATTGTTCATCAATTTGTCTGTCATTCTCAGAAATGTGAATTCTTTCATTCCTTTGTTTTTCCATTTCAAAATTTGGTTGTATGCTTCACTATCATAGCACTCAATCGCATTCTCTCCTTCAAATTTGAGTCCATTTTTAATAGTGGTTTCAAAGACGTCATTCACAAGACTTTCTGGAGCTGATGATGAGTATTTGTCTTGGCCCTTCATTTCAAGACATGTGAAACAAAAATCGATGTCTTCTTCTTTGAACATTCTAGCAATATCTGAGTAACCATCATTACCATTCGTGTTATAGTATCCTGCTGTTGCCTCTGCACTTCTTGTTTCATTCAGATATTGCCAATGAATTCCTGCAACTTTCCCTGAGATTTCTGTTTTTGGAAAAACTTTTCGTGCTGTTCTCAAGATGCTTCTTCCGTGTTCAATCAGTTTTTCTGAATACCATTTTAAGAAGAATTTTCCATATTCTGTCTTGTATCCTGTACTCCAGAATGTTGATCCACCTGGATATACATTGTAATTGTCTCCAATGTCTGTAGGTGGCGATGTCCATTCTGGATGACCTGACTCTTTAGCGTCTTTAATAAACATTTCTTTGAACATTTTATCATAGCATTGGAATGAGCCACTCGCTGGATATTCCCATCTTGACAACAAGTATGAAGGATAACGAAGTTCGCCACATGGGCCGAGTCCTACCTCAATCTTTGAGATTGTTTTGCTTTTGATGTACTTTTGAAAATGCTGATTGAAATTGATCATGAAATCTCGATACATTTCGAGTGGCGTCCTTTCTCCAAGTTTGACATTGTCATATGAGAATGAGATGTATTCATCGTTGATTTGATTGAATCGGTCAACAAAATAAGGTTTAGCTTCATGTTCAAACACAAATTTTGGAATTGGAATATGAACTGTGTCACCAATATTGCCACTGCATTGATGGAAACTCAAAACTGGAAGAATTTTCAGACCAATTCTGTGCATGACTTTGAAAACTTGATCGTATCCATTCCATCGATATTTCTTTTCTGTCTTTTCAACAAGTCCCCACCATACATCAATCATAACTCCTTCAATTCCTCCTTCTTTTAATTGTGAACACCAATTCCTGAATTTGTTTAAGTAAGATGGTTTCCCTTCTTCATTGATGACATCGAGAGGAGCCAACACATAAAAAGTGACGCCTTGTTTCAAAAAGTTAGAAACGGACAGAAAATTTTATGGACAGAAAAGCCCAGTAAATTATCGAAATTGAATGAATTATTTGATAAAAATTGAATAAATTATCTTTTATCATTTGATAATAATCATTTATTACAATTTTCATCAAAAGTGACCAATCAATATTTGAAATAATTTTACGATTGGTCAATTTTATTTCAAATTTTATATAAACCTTTCAAATTATTGAATTCAATTCAATCCAATGTTTTTTATTTGCATATAAATATTTAAATTTAAGTGTTTATATTCTATTTTGCATTGTCTGAATAAACAAAAAACAGATCTCAGGACATCAAACGACCGTTTATTTTCTTATTTTTCACATTTTGATTGGGAAATTTGGATATTTTTTAATAATAATTATACTAGGGTTGACTGTCCAGTGAAATGACTGTCCCTACTTTCACTTTTTCTAAAAAATACGTTGTTTTTGTCACTTTTTTTTGGACAGAAAATCGTTATTTAAGTCTATATTTGGTCGGAAAATACTCAAAATTTGAAAGAGCAGTCCACCAACAAAAATGATGGATAGTTTTTTCTTTAGTTAATTAATCAAAATGTTTCAAAGATAGCAATTGATTGACCAAAATTTTGAAAGCAATTAAATGAGTATTATCAAATATCGATAAAAATCAAAAATTTTCTAATTCAAATCAAAACAAATATCAATTCAAAATTTGAGTGGCTGACCACAATTGAATTGGCTGTCCAAATATGGACAGATTTGGACTGTGCTTTATGGACAGTCTCCTTTGAAAAAGTTGTGGACAGTCAACCCTAGTAATTATATTATAATAATCTGCAAATGAATGCAGATAAGAAAATAGTAAAATTATAAACAAATATGAGGAAAATAAAAAATCTGCTTTTCCAAAACGATCAAAATTCACCTTTTTGTACACGATGAAGGTCAAAATAAATCAAGCGCCCGAATCTTTATAATAATTTGATATTTAAATTCATGTATGAATCATGATCTATGTTTAGAATATCAGAATTTTTTAACAGAGATTGCCTCATGTCCAGAGGTCTCAAAAAACTTATAACATCAAAGAATTTTAATCCATAATTAATAAAGCTTGCTATCAAGTTTTTTGTCAGGGCTTGTTTTTTATATTAATGTCTTTTTTATCAAAAAAAACGTTAAATTTTTAAGTTTTGCACGGCTGGATTTCCATCCTTTATTTAATAAGTGAAATTATTTATACCCCCTCCTCGCTACAAATGGTTATTTTTTGATACGTTATTTTTTCGTTATTTTTTTGAATGAAATTGAGAGAGAAAATTGAATAAGAAAAACGTACAAAAAACAAAAATTAATAATAAATACTGAAGAAAAAGAGTTTTCAAAAAATAAATATACCTTTTATTAACTACATGCAAAGATGCTTATATGATAAAAAAATGAAGGAAAAAAAAAGAGGTAAAAATGATATTATTTTAATAATGTGATAAAAGAAAAGAGTTATGAAAGGTTTTCATATCCCTTAATATTATATGCTCTGAGTATTTAATGTTTTTATATTTACTTAAATACGGTCCTAAAATTTTTCCTGATTTACTGATAATAAATTGCAAATATCTTATTCGGCTTTGAATCTTTTAAAAACTGTTATGAGAAAATAAAAATAAGTTTTAAAGGTGATAATAACTATCGAAACAGAAATTGAAAATTTTGATTTTTCTTCCAAAATATAATATTATTTGCAAATTATAGAGAGAAGTAAAAGATATGCGAGCATGGTTCTATATTATATTTTGGAAGAAAAAAAAGCACGATTAAAAAAGCAAATAAAATTTTGAGGTTTCTCTAAAGAATTTAAGGTTAGAATAAAAATGAATTTTTTTTGTAAATGCAAAGTATATAACGAAATTTTTATTAGCAGTATCGATTTCTTGGTAGGTTTATTGAATAAAATCATCGAATTTGAGAGATTTGTTTTTTGATATTTGATTAATTGGAAATAGCCTTTAATAAATAAGTAAAAACAAAAAAAAATGGTTATATAACAAATTAAAAAAGAAAATTAATTGAGAAAAAAAGCAATTTACATATATAAAACTAGGTGAATCTTGGATTTTCTAAAATAGGAGGAAATAAGAAAGAAGCTAAGTCGAAAGTAAAACAAATAAAGAGATATAGGAAACTCTTGAGGAAAAAAAAGAGTATTTTCTGTAAAAAAAGGCTCGACAAGTAAAATGTAATTTTGAAAATAAGACAAAAACATGCTACAAAGGTTCTAATAAAACATTAAATGAATCTCTATCGATTAGTTGACGAGTAAATGCGAAAAAAAAGCTTGTATAATGGAAATTGCGTTTGAAAAATTGCTTTTGCTTTTGTAAATAATGGACTTCTTGTCACTTTTTGGTTATTTTATCGTCAAAATTTTATGAAAATTTATTGTCATTCTCTTTGTTTTATTGTAAATATTTAAAAAATATTTCATTTATTTGATTTTATTTAAAAGAAATTGAATATTTTTATGAGTATTTATGAGGAGAAAAAAATGTTAACCATAAAAAAATTATTTTTTTCAGGTTAACAAAAAACTTGTTAACATATAACGTACATGAAAATAACCATTTGTAGCGAGTTGGGGGTAGTCAAATAAAATATGGTATTTTTTTATATTATATATAATATTTCTATTTTATAATATAATTTTAAAGATAATCAAAAATTTTGATTTTATTTCCACCCCATAATGTATCAAATTTTCCAAATTTACATTTAGTGGAAAAATTACAAAAAAATAGAATTTCATATTTACATTAGATTAACTAATATTGTCATATGATACAAAACAAATTAATCCTATAACGAAATAATTTCAACGACTCTTTAATGTAGAAAACACCAAAAATATATAAAAACGGTTTTTAACGTACGAAAATTTTATTTTGAGAGCTAATTTTTTCTGACCAACTATATCGTTATTTTTGTTCATATTTATCTTCATATATTCAATTAGATTTTGGGTTAATAATCAATTGTTTAATTTAT